TCAGATTTTCAGTCAATGGACAAGCCTTTTTAACACCGAAACAATGTGTCAAGGCAGGGTTTTCTTTGACAGTCAATACATGAGTTGCATGTGCTTCTTGGGTGCGAGCCGGAAAGGCACCAGACCTCACCTCCTTTATCTGATATTCTGATCGCTGTCCAAGACAAAATCTGCAAATGAACGGACCAGAAAAGTTTTCCACTAATCCACAAATTGAATGTGCCCCAAGATTGTCTGCTGCAACGCAAAACAGACTTCCTTTCACATTTTGTCCTACCGAGGAAATGTAGATGCCGTCACGCTCCAAGATAGCAATGTCTTTTAACAAAGGGGCAAGCACTTCCTCATAACCAAATCTTTTGATGTCCACTGCTTTACATAAAAGGGCCAAGTACACAGAGCTCAGAGTTGACCGAGATGAGTGTGGAATATTGCCAAACACCCAGTATACAGCTGTAATCTTGTGCTTCTTTCTTGAAGTTCCCAGTGGATTGCAAATTTCGAAGTCATCAATGTACAGTACAAGTGTAATTCTTAGTTCTTCAGAATAAAAAGAATTATCTTTATAGATTGTACCGTCTTGATATGATTCATATTTAGTAGATGGCTTGTCCTTTTCTTTACTCAGAACTTTTTCCTCGAAGATCTTCTTTACCCAAAATATGAATCAAAGACTTAAGAATTGGAATATACTGGAAACTTCTCTTCTCATTTGGTTCAAGGACATACTCAACAGGCTCAACAACTTAAAATTTTTCTGTATAATACTTCCGTCTCTTGAACGATGAGGATAGAGGACCAGCACTACTAAGTGCTGAGCTTAGGGGATTGGAATTGCACAATTCTTCCACCAAAGATGTAACAACAGTGTCATCAATGGTTTGGTTATTTTTCTTAAAATGTGAAACAATGATACTTTTAACTGAAGATATGCATGCAGATTTTGCTATGAAGTGAAGATCATCAACCAATTCATCAATGCACCGAACTGAAACATTATGAACACTCTCTAATTTCAACAAGAGGGATGCTATATACTCTACAACTACACTGCTTCCATCTTCCTCTTCATAGTGTGCATTAGTGCTACTGCCTTCATGATTAGCATCATTGTGGACCTCATCCTCTTCAGAGGCTTCAAAATCAAGTGCTTCCTCGGGTAACCCACAAATAATCCCTGGTTTGAAATCTTGTGATGTATGTGGAGTATGCTTTCTGTGTTTGTGTGTTGCAAACGTCCCATACACATTTGTTTGGTGATCACATTCTATGAAGACACACTTAACAGTCTCGTTATTCTTGAGATGGTGACCTATATGCTCAAAAAAATCCTTTTCGTTGTTAAATCCAGGGTTTTGACACAAAGGGCAGGTAAATGAAAGACTTACTTGTGGTGAGATGAAGATTTAGCTTCTGGGTGGTATCTTGAGAGGTGAGAGCGGAAGGAACTCCAGGATTTAAAAGAACATGGGCAATCTATATGAATACAAGGCAAGGCAAGGCATGGCTGTGTCCAAAAGTCCCATGATGCAGTCTATAATGCTTTAAAATGTCACTCTTTCCTGGTACCACAGTGTTGCACAATTTACAGGGCCATCCCATCTGTCAATAAAAATAAATAAAGTTATTTTCATCTAGCCTTTTGAATACAAGCCTGATAAAATCCATAAAAAAATGCACTTAAAATACAAACGAACATTATCCTGCTGGACAAGACAAGAATGGGTAACTTTAGTTCATCACAGAATTTATTTTAGAAAATAATCTGAAACATCACGTCAACCTCATGTCTAACCATCACAATTGACTAATTGTTAGATTGTTAGGTTAGATAGCCTAAAATACTTGTAACCTCTCTTGCCAAAATATTAGTGGAACAACTGGAATGACTGCAAAGTGTGTTGGTGTGAGATGTGTGAATGTGCCACAGTCAAATACAAAGTTTTCCTGTTAAGACAAACACGTGTAAAGCACGCTGGATGAGGAGAAATGGGCCTGCACCTTGAGCACCACCGTTGAGGTGTGTTAACCGCGGGCGGTGTGGGTGTATTTCAGGCTATGTGCTAATCCACATTAGCTAACAGTGCCCACACTCATAGTTGCAAATGTTTGCTCCCTCATCAATGTGGTTTTGGTTAGATTGTGTGGATTGTGTACTCGCCAAAGTAACTGCTGCACATTAACATTCATCTCCAACCGACGATAATCAGTAATCACTTAACTTAGCTAACGTTAGCTGTGGCTACGTGTGTCTGTCGTAGCTTCGACAGCGTTGGCAGTGGACTCAATGTTTTTGAAGAAGTTACAAACACCTCTGAAACATCACACAAAGTCAACATTACTTATACAACGCGCACACACACGTAACGTTAGATTAATACAGTAATTTAGTGGCTCAAGTTAACAAACTGTTTGAGGTAACGTTAACGTTAGAGCACATTCGAAATTGGCGCTCTTCGACAGAGCGATTGTGCAGCACAAAGACGTTAATTAGGGTAAAATCTCACTTTTAACAACACAAAGAGTTACTTACATGAGGTACGTGAAGTATTATCCGGCTCCGTAGAAAACCCCGTTCGAATAAACTTCTGGAACAGACGAGATGAAGGATTTGCCGGGCTTGTTCTTCTGTTGCTGCAGGTAGTGGGCGGGTCGTGTCTTTTTACGTCTGATACGTCCATAAGGATACGTCTGATATAAACTTTTAAAATGAGTTTTGTAAAATCAATTTATGGTGAAGTCCAATTAAATTAATTTTATTATAGAAAATATTAAGTTACGAAAATATTCACACTTTTTTACTTTTTGAAAACTCAAAAAACAAAGAAAGAAAAATAAGTTAATTTATTGGAATAAATATAGTTTTTAAAATTAAGTTATAAGGACAATAGCACTGAACGAATTTTTACAGTGTATGTGCGAATTTGGGGGGGGGGCATGCAGTATCACATATGAATCCATGCAGCAATCAATACCTGCATTTATTCACAAAGTAATTGTACTCTTACTAGACTGAGTTGTTGAATAAGAAAAAAGCAAATATGCACATTGGTGTTTTATATTTTTTAATTTAAAATCTAAATGGTTATCTTCAGTAAGCGTTCTCCACAGCAGTTACAGCTTCTTTGCAAACAGGGTCCAGTTCTCCATCTCCACCTTCGGGGAAAAAGCACAGCGCGGGTTGCCAGAACGCTCAGCGCTTTGACATCACAGTGTCCGCTATCCGTCCTAACCAAACTCACCAAACTGCAGCTGCTTTATATTACAGCTGAAGACGATCTCCCCGTTGACAGCGAGCTCCACCATGTTCCAATCGCTTGTTTCTTCCAAGACGCTGTGGTGTCCGCGCGCTCTCAAAGCGGCTGCCGACATATTGGATGGACAATGTTTGACCTCACCTAAAACATTCAAGAAAACAGACAACAAGCAGGTATCCTAATTAGACTCTGATGCGGAGAGAAACATACCCTGGAGACCCTGCAGGCGGCGGGACCTGTGTTTGACGACCCCGTTGGATTCATAAGGTCCGCTGCAAATTGTCACTCGCGCGTTTCTCGGCATTGTTTGTTGTGATCACCTGGGTAACTGTAACACAATGCACGCGGACTCCTTTCCCAAAATGTGTGCAGGATTCCCTATTCAGCATTAGGCTGTTAATGCTTTAGACACACTAAATTACAATATGAGAACCACAAAATTCTGATTGTAGCCTACTTTTGATAGTATGAGTAAAATGCTAATTCCACTTTATGAAAATTACTTTCAAGGAACTTTATTACTTTTCCTTAGGTCTTAATAACTAACCTTACTATGTCATAATTATATAATATAATTATATTTTGGGGCATGTGGGTGGGGAACAGGGAGCGTAGTGCAGGCTATGTCCAGCTATGCATGAGTAGTGGAATGAAAGGGAAGAACGTTGTTTGTAATTTTTCTTAAATTTATGGATGCAACGTTTTTTAATAATGTGTTTTGTATAGGCTATAGTCTCAGTTTTCCTTAAAATACATATTCTGGTTCCACATAGCAACATGGTCAATACATTCAGAGCAATTCTGACATGTTCAGATGCTTCAGTACCTGTAATGTGCACTAAGTGGATGTGTGTGCAAGGTGACATTTTTCATAAACCACAATCAGGGGAGATTTTTTTAAACTTTAACATTATATTGATATGCATCTATTCAGTAAAATGAACACAAGTCTTTATTTGATTTTGTTTTCTTTTAATCTTCAACAGGACTTCATAAATACAACACTTGGACAGTCATAAACACAGAGATCACTTCTGGTTAGTAAGTTTCATACTTTTCAAACTTGCATTTACACCCTGTAACAGTAGGCTATATCATACAAAAATAAATAACTTAATTGATATATTCTTCTCATAAATTTACAAATGCACAGTTTTCATCACACTTAACATTCTTTGATAGACTAATGATCCCTTGATCACTTGCTTTTTGTTTCTTGTGTGCACAAGCACAACACAAGTCTCAGTATACAGAATACAGTACAGTATGAACTCACATCTAATGATTTTATAAAATAATACATTTTTCAACAGACATTTTAGTAATATGACATCTATTGTTGGTACGATAGACAGCCATTACAAAGACAACACAAACAGATATTGCATAGAAGATTCTAGTTTTACAATTGTACCATAATCTTCAGAAAATCATTAGATAGTAGCATGCGATTTGCAAGTTGACATACGATGACACAATCAACCATTTATCATAACTCACAGACTACTTTTGCTCCATCAAACTAACTGACAGGCTTCACGGACAAAATGATGCAGACATGGAAAAAGGAGAGTGAATTCTGAGTGCTAGACTCTTTTTCTGTAATTTTTATGTTTCCCACCAACCGTATCAGTAGCACTGGTTGTCAACAGCAATAAAAATACTCTATTCTTTGGCTAATTCATCTCAATTTAGTGCAAAACAACAATCAAAAGCACAAGTTTATTTTACGTACGGACAGTAGCCACTTTGACATACATTTGAATTACATCATCAGCAGCACCTAATACACTTAACAATACAATTAACAACAAAACAGCTTTACATTTTGTTTTACAGTTTATGTATATTTGTGAATGACTTGAGAAATACGTTGTTGCAGCACAAAAAACACACATTTAAACTCACACCACCACTATTTTGAATGGCACTGACAGTTTCCTATGATTGACTTCCATTCTTTAAAGCTTGTGCCTCTCCCTGTGATGGAGTCTTGGTATGAGCCTCTACTTTAGTCTGGTCCGGTGTCTCCAGCAGAACCTGTGGCAGTGGTTGCTGATCTTGGTCAGGTCAGCTGGTCTCTGCTGCGGTGTTTTGTTTTGCCAGTTTGTGTCTGTTTGCGTGTGCGTCTCCAGCGTCTGACCCGTCTTTGCTCGGTCGGATTGGAGCTGGAGTTACATTATTGCACAGATCCCTCATGTCCAGGAGTCCACGCACCAGACACTTGACAAATTCTGCTGAACATGTCTGCAGGCTCTCGTGGAAACTGGACACAGAGAAGATAATGTGCTCTGACTGAGGGTTGTAGCATGCTCCATAGCCATTTGGAACCACAGGTCCGTAGCAGCAGAACATCTCAACAGTAGTAGGGACCTGAGGGAAGAGTGGAATCCTTCAGTACTGAACACTGTCCGTTTTATTAGGTGTGTGTTGTAAAGTTTGTTGTCTGCCAGTTATATAAAGAAAACCTAAATTGCAGTTATAACTAACTGGCATTTTATCAAAAAAAATCTCTATCTCTCTAGTGTCACCTCTGGTGAAACAGCACAGGTATGTGCTTGCAGATTTAGTATTGCACTTTCATAAATTTGGGTAATTCAGAAGAGACAGAAAAGAATTATCAAAAATAAACCAGCTGAGGCTGAGATATCCTGACTTTTGTCTCTAGTATGGGTCAAGCTCCAAAAATGTGGATCTGTAGTGTCTTTCATTTAAAGCTGCAACAATTAATCGATTGGTCGATGAAAACAAAATGAATGTGCAACTTTTAGATAATATAGATAATAAATTGATCATTTAAATCATTTTTCAGGCAAAAATGCAAAAATCTGATGGTTCCAGGTTCTCAAATGTGAGGATTTAAAGTGTTTCTTGTTCTTATGTATAATATATTAAATATTTTGGAGTTTGGACTGTTGGTCCGACAAAGCAAGACATTGGATGACATCACCTTGTGTTTAGGATATTGTGATCGTCAGTTTTCATTGTTTTCTGATATTTTACAGAACAAACAATGAATCAATCAATGAGAATGTAATCTGCAGATTAATCTATAACAACAATAATCATTAGTTGCAGCGCTATTCATTAGAACCGTCTTGGCTCCTAAACGCGTACTTCTCTTAAACCCCACTCCTCCGTTTGTGGCTTAGGCTTTTTGTTAAAAATGTTAATTCTCAGACAAAAGCTGAGAATACGAAGACTGAGCGGTACTCCATGTTAAACTGAACTTCATAGATTTGTGGAGTGTCCCTTTCTAAAACATTTTTGATTAAGTATAGCTACAGCTTAATGTTCTAAATTCATAAGACCATACCTGGCTTGTAGAGAGAATGAACTGATTACTGATGAGATGGGCTTCGTCTTTGAATATTTCTGGCTTCTCCAACTTCAGTTCATGTGCAATTTCACGAAGTCCCAGTAAGTGATTGTCTATTGCCTTCCCTGTAATAGCCTGAAAAGGAGAATTAATGCATATTGTAGGCTAATTGTATTTTACTTGTACTTTTTGCAATAGAAATCTGGATGAGATTAGAGAATATTTACCAGAATAGTAATAATGTCTGTGCAGTTATGGCATCTCGTAACAGCTCCATCTTTTCTGTATCCTGGAGAAACAAAAACTGAGAATCAATGCTAGACTATTAAATACCTTATTACAGTAAGCAGTTTTTCAGGGTGGAGCACATCAAGTACAGTCCTACATCGAAGTACAAAATCGAATGACATCATATATTACATTTCATCACATCATTCAAACTGAGTTTTACTCTGTAACAGCAGTCATTTAATTAGACAGTATGACTGTAACATCCCAATCATCTTACGCCTGTGCTTAGTTCCCCATCAGTCATTGCTTT